TCTGAGGTTAAAGGCTCATCCTGAACATTTATTACTTTGGTAAATGAGCCACAAACTGTTGAAGAATGAGCATTAATCACATATGAGTGAAGGGTGTGATGACATCCAGGTGCTGATGATACCTGGGAGATTGGAAAAATGCAATACTGATATCATACTAGTGACACACATAATGCAGCTCTGGTCAGACTTTAGGTGCACTTCATTCCACAAAACACAAAAAAGATAAACTTGAGTTGCAGAAAAAAACAATGCATATCATGATCCTGAATCATTAGAGCCACATTCACTCATACAGCAGGTTGAAAAGACAATACAGCTGCTTCTTTGTTCTCAAGCATGAATCATGGACTTTATTGAACTTGAGCCGTGGATGTGCAGAGACAATAGACCGACACGTGTTCTCGTTTCAGTTGATTTTGTATTTTTTATTGAATAAATGATTTTAAAAGGTAATAACAATGTTTAAAACTACATTATCTTCACAGCCATTGCTTACATACTCAGATAACCCATCTATATATATTCTTTCAACCCTCCCCACACTTTGCTTTTGCAATTTTTTGCTTTTTTTTTTTTCTTCTTGTGTTTGTTTGTTTTTTTTTGTGTGTGTATATTTTGTGATTTTTTTTTTTCTTTTCTTTTGGAGTCATACTATCATAATAAATGCCCATTTCAAGTCTCGTCACACTAACAGCAATTCAATAGGAAAGGAGGAAGGGTCTAGCTCTACAGGGAGGAGGAGGAGGAGGAGGGATGGATTTTTGAAGTTCCCAGTTCATATTATTCCATCAACATTTTTCAAGTTACTAAAGCAGAAGAAAAAACAAAAAGATCCAAAGGAAAAGAAATCAAAGTTGGTATGAGGAGTTACACCAGGTAACCCTCCCAGCCCATCATCAGGCCACTGCAACAGAAGAAAGTCATTTTTGTACAGCGACACGTCGTAGAAGTCGGTGTCTCCAAAATTCAGAACATAGAAAACCACTAAAATAATTCTGAAACTAGATCCAAAATATTCTTTTGAAAAGAATTTATTTTGATGTACAAAAACAGTCATTTTCTTTTTTTATTTTCTTTTTTTTTAATAGCTTTTTTTTTATAATAAAAGTTTCAAACACAAGTTTATTGTAGTTCTTATTTCATTTGTCATTATCATTATTATTATTGATTCACTTAGTCTGTTTTTTTTCTTTTTCTTATTCTTTTCTCTTTTCTTTTTTTTTAACTCTTCTATCAGTGCGATTGTATAACCAGTGCAGCTACTGGGTCCAGAGTAAAGAAAACAGGCTTTTTTCATCTTTAATGGCATAAAAAATAAGGAAAAATCCATCTTTTGTACAAAGTATAACTGCTGGTCTTTAGGGAAAAAACATTTATAAACCCATAAAGCTAGGAGGCACACCATGGGATTTTCATTTTTGAAAATTATAGCAATAATAATAATACTAATAATAATAATAATAATAATAATAAACAAAACAAGTAACAACAATTTGCAACCATTTTTACCATCCTCAACGCCGCGTACGGCTTCAGAGACGGACTCAATGAAAACTCATTGAACAAAAATCGGGTTGCTTCGTAAAGTCAAGACAAGTTGAGAAATCGCACAAATAAAAAGACATAAAGAACATTGTTGTTTTTTTTTTTTTTTTTTATTTGCAGGGGTGTTTTTTGGAAGGACAGGAAGCCAGGCCTGAAGAGCAGCATTTGGGCATGGCCGCTGGCATCTTTGGTTCAGTCACGACATACGAAGGTAACACGAGCTTGAGCATTCCACGAAATATGAGAATGACCACGGAAGGAATGCTGAGGCTGAACTCTAACCCTGGTATGGAACCAAAACACGATCTGCTACAAACAAACTACTAATGTCGTTCCATAATGTCCTATGAGGTATCAATGCTTTGAACAGTTCATCAGTACAGGAGCGGGGCTGTATTCGGCGTTAACTCTTCGTCCCCCCGCTGCAGGAGATGCTTACCTTCCACATAGTTTAAAAAAGAGGCGGCGAGAGCCTCGACAACACCACCTAGTCAACTAACCCTTGCCCTTTCGGAGGAGGTCAAACGATTCAGCAGCTAGAAGGAAAACTGAGCTCTGTAAACACGGCGCCCAATCTTCCAGGAGAGGCAACGACCACTACGACGACTACTACTACTGCCACCGTCTACCGAGCGACACGCACACGTCACACCTTGACAAACTCGGCCATGAGGTTGGGCCACAGTGTCGGGAGGAATCGAGGGGGAGGAGGTTCAACGTGTGACTTCTTGTCCTTTCAAACCTGCAGGGGTGTTGACTTGCACTGGTAGGAAAAACAGAAACCAAAAAAAAAACAAAAAACAAAACAAAAAAACACCTGTTGAACAGATCTGCATATATCAAGGATAGTAAAGGTCACACATGTAGGATTTTCTCTCGATGCGTCGCCGCTAAACTGTGATGACGACCATTAACAGTACATTCCGTAGCCCCGGTGACGTGTTGCTGCTGGAACTGTTCCTTCTTCATTTAGCATCGGTCTGGTTTTCCCATAGGGAATTGATCCCAAAAATCACCCACAGTGGACTGAGCAGAGGTTCTTCTCTTGGGGCTACCGTTTCTAATGGTGATCCTTCAGAATTAAAATGTGCCGCCACGACTCGTTTGGCGGCGACGCGCCGACGAGAAAATCTTACATGCAGCATCTTTAAGTATATGATATGATCAATGAGTCCGCATGACCAGTCACGAGCTGTGACCACCCCAATATGAGGTCCGATAGCACCATATTTGTCTTTTAAATCTCTTAATGGTTAATAAGAGTGTCTAAGCCATAGATCAAGCATATCATGGATAAAACCATAGGTCTCATACTCATACATACATGCAACTAAATACATTGCATGTGTATACAAAGACATATATGTAAAAGAGCATGGTCAATTTGGTTTTGCAGCAGAATAATTCAGGTTGTGCTGTTTCAAATGGGCCGGGAGACGGACGCCTGACTGCTCCTCCTCTGTGTGTAGTGTACTTTGCAGATAAGGATACATTTTTTCTGGAGGCATAAAGCTGTCTTCCCATGGTTTAAACATTAAGAGAACAACACCACAGCGCCCGACGTCTGAGCAGAAATGAAGTCTACGGGTGGAACCAGCTGGGTTAGCATACAGGATCCCCTGTACGTCTACGAGAGCATCAGCACTAGCGTCCAAACCGCCATCGGAGGCCCGTTCGTTCCTGCGCTGTGGTGTGAACGTGAAGCTGGAAAGGAGCAAACCATGGGCTGGAGGAGCACTCAGAGCGTCGTCTACCGGTCCACCGCTTATTAAATCATTCATTTAAGGCAACACAACTGAAATCTGGGTCATTTCGGGTTACTGTGGATGGAGTGCCAAAAGCCCTTGACATTTTTGCATAAAGAAAAAAATAACCTGTCAGTTAGTAAAGGCTGTTACAAAGAAAGATGTTGGTCAAGTAACAAGAACCTCTCAAAAAATTCCAGTTAGCGAAACTAAAAAACCCAAAACGAGCGGATCGCGCTGGGATCCTGGACAGCTCGAACATTCTGGAGAAGTAAACCCAACTAGCCTAGTGTGTGTGTGGATGTGACTCACGACAAGTACGATTTAGATGGGAAATGGCTTCTTAAGTCCGTACAAAGCCCTGGCTATTTTTTTCTTTTCTTTTTTTTTTAATGTGTAGACCTCGACTGCGAGCTGCTCGGCCCCCACGCAGGGATTCTGCTCCGACTAATCCAACCGTGTTTGCTGCAGGCGGCTGCCAAACAGCTGACAAAACAGACCGCGAATCAAAACATTCCCTGGATCTCAGCGAGGAGCAGAGGAGCACGGTGGTGGTGGTGGTGGTGGTGGTGGTGGTGGTGGTGCGGTTTCAACGACTAAATCAACTCACATGCACTTCTTCTACGTGACACTAACATCGGATCGCTGCGTTTGTGCGTCTAAGTGGTGCGTCTTCGTTCAAAAGGTAAGACTTGGTGGACGAGTGACAATGGTTAGCTATAATCTGAAAAAGGCAAGACGATGTTTCCACGACTAACAAGACGTCTGACGAATGAGTGAAACCGCCGGGGGTTGGACAGGAATCCGGTGATGCAGCCCGGCCTGAGGCTGGCCGCCTGTGTTTGCATTCAGAGGGCTGAAGAAAACCCGACATCACGTCCGCCGGATGCAAACACGTCGAGCCAAACAACAGACTACTCTTACAAAGTGTGGAATAAAGATAAGAGAATATGGCTTTAAGTAGTTATAGCATGTCCCTGTCGAGTGACTCCCTGCCAGTAAACTCAGAACCCAACAGACTGTTCATTTAAATGTTCATGCACGTACTTTGATTTTTTATTTTTTGTTTTTTAGGGACCTGTAGTTACGTCTGCTCCCCCTCTTCTCCAATGCGGGGAACTCAGACCCACTTGTAGCCCGTTTTTTTTTAATCAACAAATCGCCTGCGCAGATGTGATTATCCTCAGACAAAATGGCTTCCTCCGCAATTACCGTAAATTTGAAAAAGTTAAAAGGAACAAAACAAAACAAAGAGGGAACGTAGCTTTAAGGTCGAGCCAAACAAATGCAGTTCAAGGTTTACAGGTTCCACCACAAAACACTACAAATACTCAGAGGGGGAGGTTTTCCAGAAGACTCTCTGTAGGGACACTTTGGGTAAAAATCCAATTTCTAATTTACTCTACTTTTTAATCTTTTGTGGCAGACCGACGTCTAAATCCACACACAGACATACACACGACGATTGTGAGCTCAATCAATAAACGGTACCAGCAAAGGCCGGACAAAGGGCGTCACAATCCTACCAGCTATACTTTGGAGTATACATATCCCAATACATAGTTCCAACTACGACACTACAAGAGTTTACAAGGCTAAAACAACCTCAACAGTCTTTTTTTTTTGTTAGTTTTTTTTTGTTTTTTGAGAGGAATCAGAGTAGAGACGACACAGCCTTTGAGAACTGCAGTTGCCTTGCTACATGGTATTACATGTCTGGATAGTAAGATCAAGAAAAAAATGAGGAAAATTTAAAAAAAACAAAGAGTTTTCTTAGTAAAAGTAAAAGTGTAGCAAAGCCTAAACAATAGAAGCGCGAGACTAATCCACCGTAAGCGACTTCCTTCCATCCACAGAATCAAACACCTGATTAGGTTTTGCTGAAAAGATTAAATAAATCTAATATTTGTTTCGTTTCAAAAATATGAAGGGGGGGTTATAGATATAGGTATACATATGCTGCAAAAACTTAACCACAGGCAAAGAAAGAAAACAAAGAAACGTGTGGATTTCTTGCCATAATCAAATGATGCTTCGTTGCCACCCGTTGCCATGTCAACGTCTGGGAGACGGCCAGCATGGCAACGGAAACTATCATCATAAAATGGTACAGTAGTAGAAATAGCTAGACCAGGAGGGGGCAGGCTCTCCTGGGAAAAGGTCCGCGGAGAGGTCCAATGATTGGTCATGCGGCTCGCTGTCAGGAATAATGGTTGTAGGGTGGTAGAGGGTGCCCAATGCCATTCTGGTAGTGATGGTGCTGGCGGTGGGCGATGTACTCTGCATAACCCATCGTCATCTTCTCGCTACGGTACCTGGGAACGACAAGAAGACGTGTCGGTACAGGCAGGCTGATCCTGTGTTAGGAGGCGGTCTGTTAGCGAAGCAGAGCAAAGCCCTCGGTTTAAAGGAGTGTCAATATTTACAGAGAAGCTGTTCCTCGTCCTCCATCACCGACGATACGAGTCAATTACACACAGTTAATGTGCAGACTGACACTGTGTCCAGACTGTCCTCTAACTCACTCCACATAAAAAAAAAGACTCTCTGGGATAAAGGCAGACAGCTGTTGACACGCCTTGGATGTATCGCGGCTACATAATCATACGCCGGATATTTGTAATTATCTCTGAAGCAAAAACAAACTCCAGAACATCTGCACCATGTCTGAGGCCACCACAACATACAACACTGTCGTTTTAACATCTCTCCACAACACTGACATTAACCATTAGAACGTATTCACAACGTACTTTGGCTGCATTGAATCCATCTGCACAAGCATGATGGGTGTTATTACAAACTAATCTTTAATATATTAACCTTAAATGAACCGTGAACAGCAGCCAAATACACTAAAATAACTGTTATTAAAGTAGCAGTAGCTTCATTATTGTTGGGGCTTGTGTGCAAATATTTTATAAGTGAGCTACTCAACAACGTATTGCTAACATATCTACAACTAGACTGAGCAACTAATGTCTCAGGTATGGTTCCGGTGAGCATTTTAATTCTTATCATACAGTCGTGACTCGATAATCCGACACTAAATGCAAAACCTTCTTTTATGTCGGATTGTCAAGACGGAGGTCGAGATACAAGGAGGACTTGATGCTGGAAGGCTCATTAGTTGTCAATATTTATTGTTCACAGTTGTTATAATAACTAGTGTCTTGTTAGAACACTACACATCGCTGGATGTCACACCTAATTGACCGGTGTGCTTGGGCACGTTCCCGGGGCAGCGCTCTGATGGGGTGGAAGTGTCCAGAACACACAGGCAGTACTTGGCTGCTGATTCTAGTTTAGTTAGCGCTCACACTTCTGTTTCCACCATCGGTGGTGGCGGTCGGGGAGTGGCGGGCAAGATACGCTGCGTGTGACGTCTTCGTGTTCACACAGCAGATCACATACAAGTCGCATTGAACTGGAAATGTGAACGAACTCACAAAAAACCTGAATTAAGCATCAAGTCCTGCAGTGTGAACGTAGCCAATCTGTGGGATTGTTCAGTCAGATAATACGCCGTTATCCTGATTGGTGACATTAAATGTCATTTTGGAGTCAGAATCCAAGGCTGTCGCTGTGTTAAGGCTGTTTTTATGGGTTCTGTTCGTTTTTTTCCATCAGATAGCAGGGTTTTCAGATTGTTAAGGGTCAGATTATCGAGTCACGACTGTATTTGAAATCCTGATGTTCAGGTAAAAGAGGACGGCACCACTGAAAGTTGAGACCTTGGATGGTCTTTCCAGACTACTGGAGAAAAGCAAACTGTCATTTTGAACAGAACACTTTCCGTTGCATGACGCACAACCAATCAAACCTGAGTTGTTTTTTTGGTGGTTTTGGTGGAATTTGGCAGTGAAACGTCAGCCACTGACATGTTCCACCGCTTCCACTTCCTCTCTGTCCCCATTATCTCCTGCTCAGTTCTGTTGTTCTGCTCTTTCACGGTGCCATTTAATCGTACCTTTAATTTAAAATCATGATGCGAACAACGTCAGTGAGCAGCTGAGAAGCACTTCAACAGACAACAGGTGGCTTCCTGCTGCAAGAGCTCCTGACAGGCATGTGGTAGCACCAACATCTAGTTCCCTGTTCTGCTCTTTTAGCCTTTGTGTTTCTATTGTCGTGTAGAATCAGAAAGCTTAACTCAGAGTGCATCAAAACAACAACAAGGAAAAGATACTGGATGTAGCTGCAACAGCAGAGCGATGGAGGTTTGTTATGTTGGCCTGTATGATGAATTTTACATCGAGGACGGTGTGTTAGCGAGGAAAGACTGCCACTCGAGGACATCGAGGGCAGAAAAACACCGTTTCTCGTCCTCTCCAAGTCTAACCAGCCGGTGCCGAGACCCACCCAGCAGTTATTCAGCTCAGAAGCACCTACCTTGGACTAGGTTTGTTTTTCTCCTCTGAAAATGGGCTGCAAGAGGTTCTACAGGGGCAGCTGTTGTGGTCAGAACACACACAGAAGTCTAGAAATGGCCCAGATGTTCCTACAGTGGATATCGGCTTCATGTAGCGGGCCATTTTTTGTGACTTTTAATGTGAACACAAGGAGTATTTTGCTCACCAGGCAATCATAACATAAGAAAATCACATTTCCTAGCAGTTAAAGTTTCGCTTTTCTTCTAACAGCTGGATGATGGACACATGGACTGATACAGGAACAGCTTCTGTACGCAACATTTCCATACGACGATTTTATAGCAGCAGATTAAACTTACAGCTGAGAATTTGAACAACACAACAGAATGGCTGATTTAGCCTATAGTGGAGTATATAGATCCCCAGATTACTGTAAGGTTTGATGGAACTTTACTCATATGCTGGAGCTGCTCTCCAAACAGATGACGACCACATCTGGTCACACACTTCTTTTAAAATGTGGTTTCAAACGGTTCGGTTCTACCAGCCGTGTGCAGCCTTATGGTACATTTTATCGGCTGCTATTTCTTTTTAACTTTTAGACGTCTGTGCTTTGTGAGCTTGTGTCTTAAGTGTGTTTTTATAGGTGTTATATGTTTATTGTTGGCGTCCTATCTATCTATCCATCCATCCATCCATCCATCCATCCATCCATCCATCTATCTATCTATCTATCTATCTATCTATCTATCTATCCATCTATCTATCTATCTATCTATCTATCTATCTATCTATCTATCTATCCATCTATCCATCTATCCATCTATGTGTAGCAAAGTGCAGCAGTGACACATTAATGAACGGCCATACATAAATAATTGAATCCACTAAAAGCAGCTTTACCTGGTTAACTTAATGGTCTTCCTGAAGTCATTTGTGATGGGAGCTTTGTAACCTCCCTTTCGTAGTAAGGAATCTATGGTTTGAATGTGGTCCCAACCTAGATTTAAAAAACAAAACAGAGAAATCCAAACAGTTCAATAATCAACATCTGGATTAAAAAAAACTGATGATGCTGGAAAGTGAGGGGCACAAACACATCCCACCTTGCTCCTTTGCAACCTCTGGTAGGTAGGTGGCGGTGCGTTTTGATCCTTTTTCATTGAAAAACTCTATCCTAATACCGTGCACACCCACCTAGAGTTCAAACAACAAACAGAAACACATGTTAAACTCTATAAACTGCTCCATCCATTGAAGTCAATGAGTCTGTTATGTTATTTGACAGAACTCTAACCACTTTCCTGTCTGCTATGTTTAACAACAGATAACTAAACTGGTTAAAAAGATGATGTGTTATTTATATTCTCAAGTGTAAGCATATATATATGGGCACTGGACATTTCTCTCTAAAACCTCGATAGGAAGTGCCAGAAATTCCTCCGTGCAGGAAAACAAACCGGACTGTCAAATGTGTAACAACAGCAAGTTATTCTGCTGAAACTGTGCTTTAGGAAAAGACTCTTACGTTTTACAAATAAATGCGACGTATGTGCATTTGTGCCAGCAAGGTACGGCCTCAGTTTACTCCCAGTTTTCCATTAGCTTTAATCGTGTAGGGAGAGAGTTTAGTTTTTAAAATTTCTTCATTCTAACACTTGTAGTGGAAATGAAGGCGACAATTAAAAACTATTAATTAAACTAGAAGCTCAAATTCTCTTTTTTCTTCCATGGAGGACAGCTGATAGACACATTTTTCGCTGTACTTCGGGGAACATTCCTAACGCAGAGCATCAAACAGCTCCCAGTCTGGCTGCTTCCACTTTGAACGCCAAAATCTTAATTGGCAAAATTAAAGTTTTAATTCAGAGCACTGTTTTTCAACATGCAGATCCATTAATATCACATAAGATCCTCCCTCCAAAAAACTACACGAGTGTTAGTTTCCAGAATGCTGGTTGGTGACACAGCCAGAAAAACCCCCAAAGAAACGTGGACGTACAGGTGAATGTGAAAAGCAGAGAGACTTGACACGGCTCCGAATGAGCATCGCAGCTGTAAAGCACCACAGGAGCTATTATTCTCAGTGCGGGGGCAATTGCTGCGCTCAGCTATGCTCGAGCAAAGCTTACCTCCCAGTCAAGGTAATCACCGACGTCTTCAAAGTTGGTGAGAAGAGACACTGAGCAGAAGAGGCGAGGCAGCTCATCCCTTGTCATAGGGGGGAAGCGGCTGTCTTTAAGGGCACTGCAGGTAGAAAAAAAAAAAAGCACAAAGAAGGACGACGTTACAAGAGACGATTCAGAAAACAGCAATCGAGCTTCAGAAGGTGCGATAGTTTAAATGCTGGGACTTTTTAAATGCCTGACTCCTGGTGGACGAATGAAAAAGGACATAACGCAACACACTGTTTGTGCTGTTGTGAGGGCTTTCCTCTAACATGAACCGCCCGTGGACATATAGAGGCCAGCGGGGTCGTCGCATGTCAAACAATGTGTGTGTACACAATACCCTGCAGGGAGGCGTGTGTGTGTTTACATGTATTTGACAAGTCAGCTGTGGCTGCCTTCAGGTCAAGAAGCACTTAGGAAGACATTCCAGCCCAGGTGTTTACTCGCTCCTCTCTCAAACAGAACCTCTAAACACTGGCCCCGTATCGAGCGGCCTACCGAGACTCAACTGTGCAAATGTGCTGCGCAAAACATGCAGGCACTCGTGGAAAGTAGAAAAAATCAAATCGATAGTTAGCTGGAGCACCCTTCCCCTTTTAGACAACAAGCAGATTTTCAAGCTGCCTGGCAGGTCGGCTGCTGGAAGAGAAGAAACTCTACCGGTTCTTCTGTGGTTTCAGGCTGTCTCCACTGTTTCTGTGTCTTCATGTGATTCCAGACCGTCTACCATGTGGAGATGTGTGGGGGCCATAGCGTCTGCTGCTGCTTATAGCTGAAGACGCTTCTTTATGACTTTGGGGTCAGTGTCCTGCTGCATAAAGAATTTGGAAGCCTCTCTGGTGGTCCTGTGTGATATCTAAGAACCTGCCGATACTTCTCAGCGTGGAGGAGACCATTAACTCTGACAAAGCCGGCGTGACACGTTTTTGATTTGCTGCATGCCTGCTGTCTCGTTGCTACGCTGCATGGTGTTGGAGTTGAAGCAAGTTTCCCTTATCCAGCTCCCTACAAAGCTGCTCCTGGGTCAGATCCTTACTTTACACATTACGTTGCTGTACATTAGCAGCTGTTCGGTATAAGCGTATCACACACTAAAGCAGACGGTATAAGATAACCACCGCACCGTACGAAGTGTGGCTATTAAATAACAAGACTGAGCTGATGTAAGTGGAACCACAGCACACATGCATGTACCCCATAGTATATACTGACCGATGGACAAGCGTAGACAACGCCTGGAAGTTTAAATACAACTGAAATGAATGCAGCTGAATTACATCATTAGCTCAATACTTAATAGCCACACCTCGTTTAATTAGTTTCATTCCTCGCCACAGATCTGCTGAGATGGATTGAATTTAAATTAAGGTCAAAACATACATACTGTATTTAGATTCCTATTCAGCAGTGGTTAGCTAGATGATTCTGGGTCTAAACCTGCTGGTTGGCTGGAGAACTTCCTGTTTGCATGCTCCCACCGTGCCTATGTGAGTTTTCTGTGGGTGCTCCTCCGGACATGCATGCTAAGTTAATTAGTGTTTCTAAATTGGCAGTGGTTGTGTGTGTGTGTGAGGATGCATGCTAGTCTGTCTGTTAGCCACGTGATGGTCTGGTGGACCCTCCTAACGTCAGCTGGGATAGACTACAGCCCCCCTGTGAAGCCTGATGGATGGATGGAAATGCAACAGTTGTCCAGACAGACAACACATTCACACACACACACTACACAGCATATTGTCAGTGTCTATCAGTCTGAACATCTGAACACAGAGTTACCTTTTATGGCACCCTGTCTTCTCTTTTTTTTTCAATAGACATCAAGTGGAAAAACTGACTTAAGGACATTAGTAAGTATTCTTTGAATGTCTTTTGAACCCCCAGGAGGACCTGGGATCAAAGAGACACATGTTCGACACAGCGTTACAGAAAGCCAAACAGGTGAGATTGATTTCTTCTTATGAGGTAAATTCTTTACAGTCATGCACAAAGCAAGTTCACGGGGCAACTTCCTGTTACTGTTACTGTTTGTACAAAGGTGCCCGTGTTAAAGTTCTCAATTCCAATTTGCTCCTTGTTCTTCAGTCCTCGTGCCGTTTCTCTACAAGCTTACACCATCGCAGCACCTGATCAACCGTGATACCTGGACGAGTGTGTCGTTGCTTACCTGGTAAGGGTGTACTCCCTGAGTCCTGAGTGCAGATTCATGGCAGAAAATGTACCTATACAACCCCTCAACCGCTTGTCTCTGCCTATTTTCCATGTGACAAACAGCGGGCTGAAAAACAGACAAGAACAAGGGAACATCTTAAACCAGCTGAACTTCAGTGACATGCACAGCAGATGTATGAAAGGTGGTGAACGGCACGCATTGCTTCGATATGCTGGCTCGCGTGCCGGAGTTCTGATTCACGTTGGGTGGAAGTGTTTTTCACATCATGATGGATCAGTTTTCATCAAAGACTGCAGCTTTTTTGTTTTTTCTCTCTCCTCAGAGCACTGGGCCATCTGTCCACCCATGACAGCAAAACCAATTCTTTTAAGTCTTTTTCTTTCAGTTGTCTCGCCTTTTATGTAGATAGAGGGATTTTCCAGCTTTTATGGTGAAATAGCTTGTGGGAAAGAACACCAGCCTGGGGAATAACAAATTGATTACAACAAAGAATCTGCTCAGATATGGCAATCTCTCGTCTGATTCATAAACAAGGGTGTGAATGACAATGAATACGCCCAATTAAAAACTGTATAACTGCAGCCAACGGGGCTTCTGCAGAGTGTGTTTAAAGGTATCTCATCTCATCTGGGTTTGCAGAACAAATGTTCATTTTTATGCAACAACAGTCGAAGGCATTAGGAGCGAAATTATGCAAAGCAGAGTGACGGTCATGCAAAAATATGAAAATAACAGCCAACACCCTTTTTTTACAACCAACACTTTCCAGTTATCTGTATAGAAATAATATAATTCTACAATCTGCACTGGCTGATTAGCTGTTGGTGCTTCAAGCTTTACTGCAACCAATTTTTATTTTCTCTGTCATTTAAATCAACAAAGTAAATCTTGTTCACCGATTTATGGTCAACTAAAGTCTTGGTCTCACATGTCGCGTCACAACCACCACAGGGCTCGAGATATTTAAATTTTTTTCTCAAGATCAAGTCAAAGAGTGCTCGCCGGTAAATCAAAATTCAGCATGACACAGTTACCCAGTCGCAAAATGACTCGTGTCACTGATTAATTCTTTGGTAACAGGCACTAATCGTTCTACTCCAGAGTTTTCTTGTGTTATTTAAAACAAAGACGCCCATGCAGAGGCTTTTAGTCACATTTTCTCTCCCTTATTTTTCTTTATATGGACCCAAAAGGAGCCTGTATGTTATTTCTCTTTGATAGAGAATCCAGCTCATTACAAAGACTACATTAAAATTAGCACTAATAAACATATGATCTGATTATTTCTGATGAGTTGATTGGTCAATAAAATGTCAGAAAATGCTGGAAAACGTCAATGAGTGTTTTCCAAAGCCCAAGATAAAGACTTTAAATGTCTTGTTTTGTACACAATAGGATAGAACAGCTGAGCAGTTTTCCCCAGTGAAAAAAATTAGAATGTCGGGATCAATATTAGTCTCATACGCTCACCTTTGATACACATATTTTGTATTTATTTATGGGAGAAAATCTTGAGCTCATTTTAATTGAACAAAAAGAAACATCTACCAAACGTCTCCTCGTTTAACAAATCCTACATTTTTATTTTTTAGCTCATCTCCACATAAACAACTGTTTTAAAAACCACTTTAAACCACTAATAAAACTGTGATTTATAGAAGTACAAATTACAGAAAGATCTTTGCAGCTGGACTAAATGTGCGCAAAGAGTTCCATTTAAAAAAAAAAAAAAAAAAACATAGTGTGGAACAGTTAGAGAACCGTAGTGTGGTGAGCACACCGTGGGTTTATGTTACCTGTCCTGGATTATTTTCCTCTTTACCATCAGTGAGAAAAAGCTGGTATTCCAAGTCTAGTACGTAAGCACATTTAACAAACCAACATGTTTGCTGGCATTTGATAAAACTCAATTCACGCTGTTACAATTCTGTACCTTCCCTTGCTGCTTTAACGTACTTAATTTTACAATATCTATGTTATCTGACGGCATTACACAGATTTTATATCACATAACCAATTACCTTGTCAAGATATACATCCATTCAAGTCTTTAAGAGTCAGCTGGCTAAATGAGCTGACTAGTCATGCTAACAGTCCTGCGGCTACGCTAGCTGACGAGAGTGGTCCATTAACCTTCTCGCAGTCAAAATAAAGCCATTATATCAAAATACATATACAAATATTTACTGTAAATGATTAAATAATACTGTTTAAACTAAATAACTACAACACATAAGCTGGACAGACACAAACAACCCACACTGCCTCATGCTGTTTTACACATGAAATGGGTATAATAGAATATAGCATAAATTTTTAACAAGCACACGTTCTTATCTCTAAACTGTCGTGCTGCCACCATCACCAAAACTCTGTCACAATCTGAGACCCGGCACTGTTTACTGGCTAACTTTGCAGAACACTGTGTCCGTATCAAACGTTGCAGTTGTTCTGAGCATTTCAATAATTCAATGTGACAATGCCCCCAAGTGAAGGACGAGTCGAGGACATCGCAGACCACAAGTACCAGTTTCTCAAACCTGTGGGAGTTTTCACATTTGGTTCGCATTAGCCCGCTGCATTCCTGGCAGAAGCGGAGTTTAGTACGTATAATTCTGTTTTCATTGCTGTGTAATCACCTGTAACTACCAACAGTTGTGTTTTCGTTAGCTTAGAGTTACCCTTTTGTATCTACACAGAGAGCTGGTCGTCTTCCACACAGCCCGCTGTGTTTTTACAGTAACCCAGAATGGACAAAGCAAACACTGGCTCTGGAGGAGGGCCTTTTGCTTTGTGCAGTCGCCACCGCAGGTTCTCCTGCACGCTTGAAAAGGGGACAGATATGCAGGAGGTCGCAATCTGCTGCCTCACCGCTAGATGCCACTAAATCCTACACACTGGTCCTTTAAGCTAAACTCAGACTGTGTGTCGAAGGGAGGGTGAAAAATTACAATATTGTATGCTCACATCAGTAGATTTGTTTAGCTGGTAATAATCAGTCAGCACTAAAGGCTCACTCTTATTAAATGACATAAGCCCAACACTTCACTGGTGACAGAAATGCCCAGGTAACATGGGATTTGGCGAAATCCCTGCGCCATTCCTGATAAGGCATTTTAAGTCCTCACAGCCTCTTGCAATGAAGCACTTATCCTGATTACCCACACCATGCTAGCTCATGTTTATGGAGGGTTTAGCGCTTCGTGGAGACACTGAGGCTCAAAATAAGGGTCCCAGAAGGCATTTTTTAAAAAATTTACTGACACACCCAATTTTTCTTTGGTAGGGACTCCTACTGAAGGGTCTGCTGGACTGGTTTTTCACTGAACACTCTCATCTCACTAGGACAGGGGGCGACACTGAGAAAATACACTAAGGGGGGGATTTGTGTGCAGATTTAGAGATGCATTGTGTAAGGAATCAGGAATGTCTGAAGTCAATTGACAAAACATCTGACTTTTTATTACAAAAATAAACAGTTCTTAGATTTTAAATTCAAAAATACACTTCAGGATTATCAGTCATGCATTTGGTCAGACTAGCCAACGTTAAAGGTGTGGCACAGCAAGCTGTATGCGCTCTGTCAGGGACACGTCAGCTCACTGGTCAGTAATTGCTGCACCGCTGTGAATTTTGATCAGTTGTTTAATTTAAATGTGTGAAGCATTTTTCCTGGAGTTTCTTGAGGAGAGGCTTCTAATAAAAATAATACTGTGACAGACGCTGAGGATACACTTGTATAATTAAAGATCCCTCCAATATGCTGGATTTCCATTCAACATCCCAAAAGCATCATTTCAACAGATTCAACACACATTACAGTCTCTAGTATTAATGGATCTATTGTGTTTTACAGAGTTTACAAGGGACTGTTTAATATCATAAAACATGATTACCATCAAAAGCCTTAGGACTGATGGAGGTGTACACACTCAATAAAATCACACCATTTACAACCACTACTATACATTGACATGTATACAGCTCTGTATTTTTAGCCAAGTGGCAGCCTGCCTGTCACTTTAATGTGTCACATGACAGCAGCAAACGACAACACAATACAGCAGCTCCCTTCAGTGTTTTTAATCTGTGTAAAAGGTGGCCCCTTGTCAATATGGTTTTTCGCCCAATATAGGTCAGTGGATATAAATGGAAACAATCTTTTTACAGCCTCTAAATGTGAATAAAACAGCCGCAAAGTCACATGCTATCACATTTCAACGGTCATCTAAGCATAAGGTGGGGACAAAATGTTTCGGTGGAGGGCGCAGGAGTGCAGTAACGGACAGAAAATATACATTTGCTGCTCTTAGGGCTATTTTGGTCATAACACTCAATAAATACCATATTAAGTGGATGCTTTAAATGGTTAAACACCGTCTGTTTGTTTGCTTTCATTATCCGACACTGCCACTACTCCATCTTTAACACCCGATAAATTAAGCAAAGCTTAGTACTGCTAAGTACTTAGCAAGTGCCACCTTTTCTTTGTTGTTTGATGCTAAACTCGGTTGTTATTTTTCCTTAATTCGACAGTGAAGCCTTCCACACCAAACAAAACCTGTTGTACACGAGTAATCTCAACTGGCATCTCATTATAATATCAGACACTTTGAATGCATCTATCACTAAATTAATTACTTCAAGCTCATTAGTGCTTCGTTACTAAGCTAATGTAGCTCAAAGCTAACGAAGCTAAACCTAGTATGTGGCAACCCAGAGTTCATTGAGGGTAACTCAAAGGATTAAGAACACGAACATTAACTTTTGATGTTTTATATGTTAGCGTGTTAAATGATCTGCCCGAAACAAAGATCATGCTGCCGTTAAACCGAAAAAATAAACGATGTTATCTTCGTTCCACCCTCTTTCTTTTTTACTGTTAGTGGCTAGCCGTTATCGGCTAACGCTAGTAGCAAACACCCTTAGCTAACGTTAGCCAGTGGTTTTCGAGTTGGACCGACAGTATCGTAAAATGTTTTTTCGCCCACCACCGACGGGAAATTTAAAAGTGACATGCCGCATCATTCATTGATTAATAACACAGCTTGATAAACAGCACGGTGGATTCAGTGTAGCGATAATATTCGGCTAGTTTAGCTGCGGGCCAGTGCAGACAGTCTCCTCGACAAGGCCCGAATTCTAACTTGGCCAATTTAAGCTATGATCGGCAGCTTTTCGTGTTAAATTCGTGAAGAAGTGAAATGTTGTTTCGATGTGACAGTTTGTGATCCTGACACCGAAACAGAATCCGGAGCTACACCCGTCAAGTGTGCTGCAGTGGAGATTAGCAGAGGGGGGACACCACAGTGAGCTTTGACATGCAGCAAAACAACAAAAGACAGAAATACTCACTAGGGATCATTTGTAAACCTGGGTGTTCTCGGAGGTTGGTATCCGTACAGATGGCAATAAAGCACGTCAAAACAGAAGCAGCACATCTCCGCTGAGACGACCATTTTTCTGCCTCCACTTCCCGAACCAGGTCCCGGGCTGAGATTCGGTGAGAGGCCGGATGTAGTGTAACCGGCCGGGGCTGGGGACAGAGCGTTTGTGCCGCTGCTACCACTACTACTACTGCTGCCGCTAACGTTACCCCCGGGTCCCCCCAGGCCGTTGGCTCTGCTCACGTTCGCCGCCGCTGCAACAGTCGCGGAGGAGCCAATCCCCAACTCTGAGCCACAATGTCCGGTTCCTGCCACCCCGCTTCCCGCCCCCACCCCGCCGGGACCCCCCGACCCGGGCGATCCCGACAGTTTCTGCTTCTTCACCCCGCAGCACCCGGCCGCCATCTTGGAACAATCTGCACCGACACACCGCTTCCGACCCATAACCGTCACCGCGGGAAGGGTGGGGGGGAACGCCGACCAGACGTAGAAATCCCACTGCGTTGATACGTACGACGGACAATACTCCACTTTCACTCTTTTTATTTTTTTGTCGGACGACGAAATAACCGATGTGGTGAGAAGACTGCAATGTCACCCTAGCGTTGCCTTTAAAAATGCGTGACTTCGCTACGCAAAATCCATAGCTGGATGAGCGTTTTTCCTTTGAGTAGTCAGCCAGTCCAGCTTTGGACCGCGGTGTTCCGGTGGATCACCTATAACGTCAGCCAAATATGCACCCCTTCTCCCTAACACGACACCATCCGAGGCGCTCGGTCAGTTCCCCTTTAACATACAAGTTCAGGGAGTGCACAGTCCGAACAGGCCGCAGATGACAGTACCCAAGTGGTCCAGATGTGAAGCCGACAGCCAGTGCGCTGTAGCCCCGCAGCACACCTCTCCAAGTGGAAGCCGGGAGCTTGAGTACGCAGGACCCATAAGCTTCAGCACAAATTGCGCACAATGCCCTGGACGGCGTAGCTTCTCATTGCACCAGCTTGTTTGCTACTGCCTCACGAACTTCTAATTACACAACAGGCCCAGTATGTTGGAATTCCAGACGCAGAGTAAAATGGCATCTGACAATGCGGGGTTGGCATGGCACAATGAAACGCGTCAGCGCCCAGCAAGTCATGTCGCTAGCCCACAGTTTGCACCTGCATGATGTCTGCTCTTGGAACCTGGTTTAGAGGAGGAAAGGAAAAAAAAAAAAAAAAAGAGGAAAAAAATCTCAATAACACCCCCGCGTCAAACGGACAGCTCAAAGTTTTCAGTATAGGTTTGTTTGCAGGCTGTCATCCGCTCATGGGGACACACACAGGAGAGCATTCCAGTCCGTGAGCCGTGAGAAATCCTCCGGGTTTGGCAAAACCCTCGCTCCGCATCCGTCTCTCAGCTGCTACAGTTCAGTGCTGTTCGGGTGAAAGCCCTGTGATCGGTCTGTGGGCATCGGTGTCGTCGGCACGCCGGAGCCGGATTCAGAAAATGTGTTGCGCCCACTTGCTACACAGAATGCGTAGCTTCTGGGGGTATCAAATGTGCAATTCAGAAGAAACGAAGCGCTGCTGTGGAGGCATGCGCGTTCATGACGTCCGTACGCGTGTCTGCGTGCGTGCATGAAAAAGTATCTGTGCCCCGAAGTTATAAAAGGCACAGCAGCAGCAGCAGCAGCAGCAGAGGAGAAGGAGTGCTGCTGTAAACTGATTTGCAGTGTCTTTGTGTTGCACAGCTCTGTGAATTAAGATAAAGGCCACACACACACACACACACACACACACACACACCAAGCTGCTGTCATTTTCAATTCTCATTTATTCCCAGTGTCTGATTTTGCACATTTCCTACGTCTGTTTCACTTCAGGGCGGCTGCTGGAGAAGCTGTGGTCTCTATGAAAACATCTTATCTGGAACCAGTGAACTCAGCAATCACTCAGATGAACAATCAGTTCAGTCGATAATGACAAGAACAACTGTTTTTGAATTCCAAACACTGTATAGACTGTATAACACATAGATGTTAATATGTCATTCTAGTAGCATTGCTCTTTGCTCCGTTGCATCATCCACCTTCCACATGTGTATAAAACAGCAATAATCCAACACTTATTGCTAATAACTGGATTTATTCCCATCACTGAAATCTGCACAATTTGCACTAAACTTCTGGTTCACCTTAAACATGCTCGTTGATACACATCTCTGGCTGTATCTGGGAATCAAATTGTCATTTTCCTTACTATAACCTGTTGCACACAGTAATTTATAATGAATGTGTAATTTTGCACATTACAAACATTTC